ACCGAGCATCACTTGGGACAAATTCGAGCACGCTACAATGATAAATTTGTTAACATTCAGCGTGGTTCTAAATCAGAAGATCTTCAAGCGATTCCCTTGGAGAAATCGAAAAAGTTCGCCCTCTATCGAGTCCCAATCCGAGTCCCTGCCGGTGCGGAGATTTCCTTTCAAGTAGAGTACCATATGGGAAATACTTATCGTCCCTTGCCAAAGCGAATATCCTTCAATGTCAGTCACGATTTCTTTGAAGGGTTGATGAATATTTCTGGTTTGTGGCTAGAGTCGACATTTTGTCATCTACGAAGACCGTCTTGCAGTCCCGTCTCCATATCTTGTGAAGCACCAGAAGACGCAGTTTGAGATTCCCAAAGGGTCTTTGAAGTGAGTGGTTTCCTGAAAGTCTGACTGATTAACACTTCAACAATTGCTCTTAATTCAACTCTTCCCTATTGCTATCAGGGACGCTTCCGAGCCGCTCAAGTTGGTCGATGGAATGAAGTTGATAGGCGACGAAATATTGGATCAACATCCTTTCACTTTCAGTAAGACTCGTCATGCGTTCATATCAAGTGTATTCGCTCTTTTCTGGTTTGGTGATTCTTCTTCAGGTGATCTCAATGTTCGAATTCATTACAACTTGAATTCGCATTTAGGATTTTTCCCAAGTGTTGAGCGCCAAGTTGAAGTTTCGCATTGGGGTGCAGTTTCTGTCAAAGAGCGCTACGAATTTCAAAATCGTAAGTTTTCTTCCGTTTTTGTCAACTTCATGTCCCTTCCTCATTTTTTTTTATTTCATTTCTCAATTTCATGTTTGTTCATTTCTCAAGGCGCTGCGGGACTGGATGAAGAGTATGATCGCACAACAATTTCAACTTTTATTAGCGCGGTTCTTGGAAGAAGACGGTTGGATGGAAAGCCTTACCCTGAACATCGCACCTGTTTCCAGTTGGGTGAGTTCTTCTTTCACATCCTCAGCACTTTCATTCACTTGTTAGATTCGATTTTGCCAAAATCCTCCTACGATCTAGAATTCTTGTAAGCATTGAGATATTTAACTCCTCGATTGACTCGATGAATAGGATACTGAAGAGAAATGTTTGTCTATTTAAAAGTCGTGTTTTTCTTCAGCGATGAGATTGGAAATATTTCATCCACTCACGCGAGAAGAGATGTACGTTGTTTCACATCAATTGGATTATTTTTCTCATCCAATTTTCCTCCTCAGTCTGGAAATGTCCTTCTACAAGTGGAGCCCAGATTTCCGATTTTGGGTGGCTGGAAAGCTGATTGGCGTATTGAATATAAATTACCGACGGCGTCTGTAGTTTCTAAAGTCGCCCCTTCATCGCATCAATCAAATTTTCGACTCACAATCCCGTTCGGTCCTGGAATTAAAAAAGTGAGAATGATTCTCCATGAAGGATTTTTTGAACAAGATCTTATTCAACGTTTCAGGTCTTCACAAAATTGCTGAAAGTCAAAATAGTGTTTCCTGGTGGCTCGCGCAACATCCAAGTACATTTTTGCCAGCCTTATTGTTTTTCGATTGCCACTCCTATTGTTTTTCGATTGCCCCACTCCTATTTCTATGATCCTTTCTGTAGGTAGTTCTTCCTCGTCATCTTCATCGTCAAATGAAAGTCGGTGAGTATCGTGGATGGCTCGATCTCTTCAACTCCCGTCCATATATTGAGTTGATTGTCGATGGATTCACTGTTCCCGATAATGAATTGCTTCTCCACAACATCCAGGTCAGATAGGAAAGCTTTTCCAAAACTCTCTTTTGAAAATCTTTTCTCCATTCACCATGTATATCATCCATCAATCACTGCTCTCAATCTGTCAATCCTTACCATGTTACCCCCCCCAGGTTGATTACAGTTACCGCCCCGGAGTCTCGGACATTCGAAAACCACTTGGCTGCGTTCTTATTGCTTTCGTCCCATTTCTCTTATTCATTATTTTTTCAAGAACTGATTTTAGAATCATTTCGACCGTAAGCTTTGCATTGAATGCGGTCTTGGTGTATCCGTCTCCCAACAACAGAAACTCGAGAATAGCTGCACAGACGAAAGGCTTCTAATGAACACCAAGTCTTTGCTTCAGCGGCTTCTAACGACAAACTCCGCCCCTTGGACTGCACTACGTGAGTTCGCCCCAAGTTGATTCTCTAGCTTTTTTTTTGCAGAGGCCTTGAATTCCAACGGCGAAATCGCTGCAGCAAAAGTTAATTGGAAAGCGCAGCAGACACGATTGGCGCTTAATTTATCGAAGGTACAGAATATTAGTAGAGACATCCTCTGTACAGTGCTCTTTTGATCGGCATGCCGGCATAGAATCATGCATTCGAGATGTTCTCTCTGTCGTTATTAGATTTGTGGAATTTCCCACGATTCGGCCAAGGTGACAGAAAACACGAAAGAGCTTGTTCTATCTGCGTCGACGAATGCAAATCAGTTCATTGCTGCACTCGAGGAGATGGTTGAAGATGCAACTACTGAAGTGGGTTCATAACAAAGGATCAAGCCATCAAGTCTGTTTTTTAGGGTTGGAAAATTCCCTCGTCGAGTGAGGAAAAAGCGGATTCCGCAAAAGCTGAACTTAGCCGACTCATTTCTGCAATAGACAAGGCAGTCAAAGTTGGTTCTAAAAAGGAAAACTGAAAAGTAGAGCGCTTCTAAAGTTTGTTCATGGCAATCGACACCTAGCTATACATTTATAGTAACCGTGTTCGAATTGAGACAAAGATGACAGGTGAAGTTCTTTGAAAGAGATGCGGCCGAACGACATAAATCTAAAGTCATGGACCAACTTTGAAACGTCCACTGTTTTCCTTTTTCGCTCATCTGTTGCTGATTTTCCTCCATACTTTGTGTTTATTAATGTTGCATGTAAATTGACTTCCACAGTTGAGCCATCAGTAGCAAGACACCTTTGTTGGTGAAGATCCTCTGAACTTGAAAGACCTCCCTCTATTAACTTCTTTGCTAACAGACCCGACACTCTATTTATTGCCCGAGTTCTCTCAGATATTTCAGGGCGCGTCACAACGACCCTTGCATCTGATTCATCGTCATTCATCACTTCGATTGTTCTAAAATCCAACACAACCGTCCGTGTTTCGACTGCGTCATAAATGGAAGCCTAGGAAAAAAAATACATGGAAGAAACAACAATGAAGTCCAACTCAAGCAACAATGGACTACGGACAACAATCCAATCCCACAATCGAATCTCACAATCCAATCCCCACAATCCAATCCCCACAATCCAATCCCCACAATCCCATACCTGAGATTCCTCAAGAATCGATTTACACAATCTAATTTTCTCTTCAGAATGCAAATTGAGCATGAGAAGCGTCAAATGCAAACGTGATGCGATTTGAAACATTTCTGACGGAATGTCATACGCATCTGTTCGCAACACTTGGGACTTGAACGAATTGAATTGTTTTTTGAATCGATCTTCTTCGATCGGTAATGAGATGAAATGAGTGTATTTCATTGGGTGACTCTTCTGGAGTGACTGCTGAGCCTGCGGAGAGGGTTGGCGAGGCTGCGGGGTGACGGACGCAATACGCATGACCCGCTCTAGTGCTTCCTCTACACATTCCTTGGAGACGGTACTACGAAAGAAGACAGAATGATCCCGGATTGACAGAATGATCCCGGATTGACAGAATGACTTCGGATTCAAAGAAACATGATCAATAATTGATGAATCAGCGAAGGGTTGTTAATGATGATTACCTTGCTATTGAGACGATGCTGTTCTGAGAGTTTGTTTTGTTCTTATCGGGGGAGACCTGACGAAAAGATGAACGCAGTTCCCATGGACTAATTATATTAAATTAATTAAAGTAGCTTGGTCAGACGTTGAACACCTCACCATGATTGTCGTGCTTGTTGTAGATTGCAGCTGCTTCAAGTTCGCCATCCCCTTGCCGAATAGTAAACCAATTAACGATGTTGGAAAATCAACAAGAGTTATCCACGAGTTGTTCGAGCTATTAAAATTGATGACCGAGTCTTCCCCATCGTCACCTTCACATTCTTCCTCCCAAAAACATCCTAAGAACAACAGGCCCTGATCAGTTTGGGACTTATACATCATTATTTTGGGACTTATACATCATTATTTTGGGACTTATACTCTTTGTCTTCCAAGTCTTCTCATTCTAAACGTCTACCTGGTTGAATTCCACGATGATTCGAACCTTCTTCGGAGTCAGAGCTTTCATGTTTTTCAGATGGAGGATTTAAACTGTATTTTGTCTTCCATGCGTTGCCCTGTGGAACTTTCCACTGAAAGCAATCGAAGACTCTTTGTTCGTTCGCCACATCAAATACGATCTCACGATATGCAGCCCCGCTGTTCCTATCCAACTTCACTTGGTATTGCGGAAATCCCAGTACCGTATTTCCCGTTTGAATATCCATCGATTCGAAATGGTCCACTCTCAGATGACAATTCAGTTCCGGCCAGAGTGCGCCTTTTGATTAAGACCACAATCCATTCCGCCACATCTGTCGAATCTTGTCCTGAATATGTAAACAGGGCTTCGCCTGAACAGTTTTGCTCTTAAGGATAATTTCCTCCTTCCTCCTCCAACTGCTTCAACTTGACTCTCCCCACAGTCATCGTCGGTCGAATTAACTCCAGAAGTTCATTGACACCGAGCTAGAGAGTTTATTTACTTCAAATGGTCATGCATAAAGTGAGGATCTTCCAGGGGTCATCTACCACTAGGGGTTCAACCACAGGATCTAGCACCAGGGATCCTATTTTACTGATAAGGATCCTATTTTACTTCAGAATGTGTTTTTTCTCCTTCAGGTTCGGGCCGCGTCGTATCTTCGACGCACAATCTCAGAAGTGAGAGTTAACTCCCCCTTCAGAACTCACCCTTGTGTCATCAGCCATATCCGAGACGGAGACCTTCCGCTATCGGAGTCGTGGGCAGCGGTCAATTTGCGCGAGATGCTGGAGTTCAGTTGATGGACAGCAGTAGCTATGGTCCACTAGGCGATGGTGATTCTCCAGTATTTACTTGGGGGTCGGATTTGGCAGGAATTCAAATGCTCTTCTTCACAAAGTCAGTTTTCTTGTTTCCTTTTCGTTTCACTTTATTTTCTTCAGGTTGAATATCACTTTAGTGTTTCTTCCCCTTGGAGTGATGAGCGCTTTCTATCAATGGGGCGATCTAACGACATTCTGGTTCAATTTCGTCGCACTCATCCCGTTAGCAGGGTTGTTGGGGAACGTGACAGAAGAATTAGCTCTCCATACTGGAGGTGCGTTCTTTCCTTAAACAAGATTATTTCACTTCGTCGTTCTTTCTTTGTTCTAATTATTTCACTTCGCTTCTATTTTCAGATTTGGTCGGTGGTCTTTTGAACGCCACATTCGGAAACGCGGTAGAAATGATTCTCACTGTTCAAGCATTGCGTGCTGTAAGATGACAACGAAACAGATTTCTGTTCAAGCTCCAGTTTTGCTCAGAATCTGCTTGCCGTCGTTCAAGGAACACTTTTAGGGTCAATTTTATCGAATCTCTTATTGGTTTTGGGCATGAGCTTTTTTGCAGGTACTTCACAAACACAATGCGTCTTCTGAAATCTTTTCAATTGTAGGGGGGTTGTTCCATCATGTACAGAAGTTTAACGCTCAAGGTACGCAACACTCTCGTCATCTATTGGAGCGTTCCACAGCCAGAATGCATCACCCCACTTCATCCTTTCAATCACTCTGCATCTCTATTTTAGGAGCGACTTGCAGCACAAGTTTATTATTGCTAGCTTCGTTAGCTTTTATTACTCCGACTGTAACGTCATCCGATCACACTCTACCAGAAGACATTTTAACAGTAATGAGTGAAAACCACACGCTCCATCCTGATTGCTGCTTCTCTTACATCTCACTTCTGTGTTTTTCTCAGATCTCAAGATTAACTGCATTGCTTATTGCTCTCACTTATTGTCTCTTTCTCTTCTTCCAACTTGGAACGCATTTAAGTCTTTTTAAAGATGATACTGGGTTCGACAGTGAAGGAATGATAGAAGGTAGATCATTCGCCATCAACATAGAACTGCTTCACCATTCAGACGATCTAAAGAGGAATGGCCGACGATATCCGCGTCAGTTGCCACGTTGATGCTTGGTCTTATTACTGCTGCTGTCAGTGTAGCATCAGGTGGGAGTGTCTCTGTGGAGAGTCCGGATTTTGTTTGTTCTCTTTAGAGTGTCTTGTTGGTTCGATTGAAGGGGTGTCTCGCAATAGCGGCATTCCTGAAAGTTTTATTGGAGTTATTTTATTACCTATAGTCGGTAACGCAGCTGAGCACGCCACAGCAGTTACAGTTGCTATCAAGAACAAGCCAGACTTGACAATGGGGGTTGCAGTTGGCTCCTCTACTCAGGTGAATGATCAGAGCTGTCTTGTTAAGAGACTGCTTCTCTTTCAGATCGCAATGTTTATGGTACCATTTGCTGTTCTGGTTGGATGGGCCATGGGAGTTCCAATGACATTAGCCTTCTCGAGAGTCTCGGCAACTGTTCTTACATTTTCAATTTTGATAGTTATTGGTGAGTATTTCAGAGATGTCTGTGTTGTTGACATTCTCGTTCAGGAGTAGTTCAAGATGGTGAAAGTAATTGGCTCGAGGGGGTTATGCTGATGGTTGCCTATTGTATCATCGCAATCGTATTTTGGTTTGACAATCCATCAGAAAAATTCACCAGGGGCCATCAAGCTCATCATGGCGTCTTCGTGATTATTGGTGCATTCCGTCCGCTCACGTCACAATGATGCGTTCTAAAACTCCCGAGTTACAAATTTTCTGTGTGATTTTTCCGTTGCCTTGATGTATATCTTTGCTCTCCACACTTGAATTTTTTTTTCCTCGTATATTCTCTGATGGAGGCCGGGCAGTCTGACATGCATTTCCTGATCACTTCGCACAAATATGTTTCTTGACGTAAACACCAACAAAAGGAGAGGGAAGAAGAAACGTCGGGACAAGAAACAGGGAGCACCTCTTCCAGACAAGCCTCCGTTCGAGAGTGAAGGCGATGAAGAAGAATCTGAAGGCGAACTGAGCGCCTCGCAGGGCAAGAAGAAAAGCGCTTTCTTGAAGGTCCGTTACACCGACAGCTCAATCAGCGCTGAGATCTCAATAGAAGTTTAACCAGAGCTCTAAAGCTTCATTGGGACAGCAAGGGCACATACTATTTATCGATGAATTGTTTCCTTCAGTTTGCAGAAGAAAGGAGGAAAGAGCGCAAAACTAAAAAGCGAGATTCTTTTGAGGGCGCTGATTCAGCTGGTGATTGGAATGTAGTGCGACAACGAAACCCACAAGCACCCAAGAAAGAGGGAATACCACGAAGCCCTTCTAATTCTGTTTTATTCGAAACTGAAGATTCTCGTGATGCTTCTGAAGATAATGAAGAAAAAAGAACATCCACAACAAAACAAGCAACAAAGCAAACTCGCTCGACCCAACAAAAAAAGAAAAAATCAGCCAAAACACGCGCTGAAGCAAGAAGCGATGAAGAGGTGAGAAACGATGTTCTTGCATGACGCGCGCTTCAATAATTCGCTTTTAATCCAATATTGATTTGAGTCACACGCCGCTCTGTTGATATTATCAAGTTCCAATATTCTCTGAATTTCTAGGATGCTTTGTTTCGCGAATATCGCAAGTCTTCCGGAAAGCGCACATTCCCAATTTAATGGAGTTACTTCGCCTTATTTGGACGTTCATGAAGGTCCCTACTAGTTTTATTTCAACAGTTTGTTGATAAAGTTTCTAAATGATCGTTTCGTAAGTTTGCGTTGCTTTTCTTGTTTCAGTCTTGTGATTGGCGTGTTATTGGTGTGACTGCCATTCTCCTTGGAGCCCTTTGTGCATTGAAACTTGGCGAAGAATCATACATGGAGTCAAGACGAGCAGGAGATGCAATTGAGGTGCGCGTCAATCATCTCACTAATCGTCATGTCCCATTTTCGAATCGTCATGTCCCATTTTCAGACTGATTTGTACGAAGTCTTGCGTGTCCCGAAAGCCGCAACAAAAAGGGACATCGAACGCGCATATCGTCGCATGTCTGTTGAGTGGCATCCTGATAAAAATCCCGATTGTCCCAAATGCTTGAAAAAATTTCAAGTAAGGAACAACCTCGCTCTATTTCGAGGCTACTAGTCATTTTCTCTTTCAGGAAATCTCCCAAGCTTATACAGTTTTATCAAACAAAGAAAGCCGCGAAGTTTATGACAAAAGCAGCTCCACATTTAGCGCGATCAGCTCCGCTGCAATTACATTAACGCCCTCAAAATTATGACGAGTGGGTTTTTGTATTGCAAAAAATATCTTGGAGTCTTTCTACTTCCAACTTCTGGCTGTGAAACGCTCCACTGCATCTTGTTCTGAATTCATCGTTCACTGCTTTCTTTATATTTGATGATTCTCTTTCTTTATATTTGATGATTCTCTTTCGATATATTTGATGATCCTCTTTCGATATATTTGATGATCCTCTTTCGATATATTTGATGATCCTCTTTCTTTATATTTTGTAGAATCATTACAGATACTTTAGACTACAAGGTTTGGATCATTCAAGTTTTCACTGATTTAGAACCGCTCTGTCGTCATATTGCACCCGCATGGGAAGATGCAGGTAAGTCATCACCAGATGTAAACATCCGATATAGACATTTATCGATGAAAACATTCATCGGACTCGATGTCCCAAAGTTATATTCACATGAGAGTCTTTCTCAGTTCTCCGCTTGGGAAAATCTGTGGGATTTGCTCGGATCAACGCTCGAACAACGAAAGAGTTGTTGGGTCGTTTGCCAATCACAGTTCGGATCTTCCCAACAATACTAATGATGAGCGAAAAAGGCGGTAGACTAACTGAAGTACGAAAGTCTTTCTTAAAGCTGGAATAGATAAATTATCTTCCACAGATCTACTCAAATATCTTCAACATGTCTCCATCCCATTTCCGAGCATGGATCAATCGACATTATCCTTCCACCCCTGAACGCCTCTACAGTTCCCGTAAGATTCCAATTTTTATCTTTTAATTGTCATTCTCACTCATTTTTATCTTTTAATTGTCATTCTCACTCATTTTTATCTTTTGATTCTTCTTCTCAGACGTCATTAGCGCTTTCCTATCGAAGACGACTGATCAGACTCCCCGACTTCTCGTTACATCTCCACAACCATTCCTTCCATTACAACTTCGCAATCAACTCCATCTTCATAAGGATGTTTATATTTCTGGCCACAGTTTACTCCATGAAGCCAAAGCTTTGGTTCAACCGTGGGGCCTCGTCCGTCCAGAGACAAGCATCAACGTGATTCGCTTCTCTCCCTCTGTAAGCTGATGTGACCACAGAACGCGTTTCAACATTGAAATTCGAATATGTTTATGATCAGGTTCAAAACGATCAAAAAAACACAATTTCTCCGTCCAAGATTTATGAAATTCCTTACAATGCGACTGATGACGATATTGCAAATATCTTTACAAAACTTCGCAGAGTAAGTCCGTTAGATTCGCTTGCTTCTCTTTCACGCCGCATCCCTACAGTTCGGACCTGCTCATCTCACTCTTTCCACGTCCCCGATTCTTTGTGGAAATCCAAGTGACCCTCCAGGGTAAGAAACTCCCAACACGCACATTCTTACTTGAAGAAATCAGTACGATGGAAGTGCTGAGGAACATGATAGCGATATGATAGCGAAATCTACAGAGCCAGTCTCACAGCTTGCAAATGAATTTTGTTTGTTTTGTTCAGAGCGATTTGTCTCGTGAGAGTTTTGGACACTCCGGCACCTCCACCGATTTTGCAATTATCCACTTCAACTCAAGCACCTCCAGTTGCCAGCAAGGAGGAAGATGATCAAGAGAAGAAGAAGCCGGATGGTATGCTATCGACATTATCTAAAAAGCTTCAAAATGGAAAACTCTCGTTTTTCACTGAAGCTGGTGGTCGAGTCTCTGCTGCTGCTCAAGTTTTGATGCATGGAACGAAGCAGGCTTGCCATTTCGAAGAATCTGAGTTTTGGGGTCAGAAAGCGATTTATCGACACGCGAAGAAGTCAGAAGAGAGCGACGCTGTGGATGTTGAGAAATTTCTACAATTGGTTAGTTTGAATACTCTGTGGCAATAAACACCAATTTTGAATCAATGGATTATTTTGAGTTTATCACTTGTTGAATCAGGTTTATGTTGTTCGGCCTCCGAAGTTACCTGCTTGGATCAGATGGATTGTAGAATGGAGACGCTCTCTTGCTATACGCTCATCCTTTCTAGCTTGTCATGATTTATGGAGTTCCGTGCTTGAGACGTCTGATTTGTTTATCTTTCAACGCAGTTCAGGAAGACTTTTACCTCTTCACCGTGTAGAGGTACGCACATGACTGGCGCACTCTAGTTGCTCCTTCTTCAGACATCATTGACCAGCGCAATTGAAATAGCTTCCGATATCTTCAATGGATTTGTTGATATTGATGTTTCGTCAAAACTGCGGTTCATCGGTTCAGCACAAACGAGAGAATGGCGTGGTGCTGATGCGAGAGAACGGCCATCGATTTGGGACAAACGGTTGCTACTATGCGGATCACCCCCCACAATTAAATCAATGCTTCAAGCGGTTGTGTCATTCGTGTTAGCATCGAAGGTAAGTCCCATTGCCTGGTCTACCGTCATGTCAGAATGGTTGTTGTTTGCTTGACAAACTTCTTGTTTTTGCCATTAGGTGATTTCTACAGCGTTGGTCCTGTGTTGTGCAACGTGTCTCTGGTGCGGTTCATTGTTTTTTTACGAAAAGATTTGTTCTCTAAGGACCAAGACGGATTAGAGCTTTGTTCGATTTTTGATTGATAGCTCAACTACTGCAAATCTGTGAATAGACTGTGTGTAGATTGCCGTCCCAATTTCTACAGGTGTGCCTGCTGGAGCCATTTGAATTAATTTCGAGACGGAGAGAGGAATCCAGATTTTACTTCCCATGAGTGTTTCGCCACATATCCAATCGGCAACTGTCGTAACGACCGCTGCTCCGTCAACGGGTTCGTCCATCTGATCGACGGGCTTGCACCATTTTCTTTGTATTTGCAGTTGTCCAAAAAACGGCAGACGCTTCGAATGAAGAGGAATTGGTGTTTCCTGCTGCAGATGTGTAAGTGCTGGTCTTTATACAAAGGGAATCAATAACAAGAGATTGAAGCAACGGAAATCATGTTTTGCCAATCAACAGTGATGCCATGAAATTGAGCCGTCCAACACGTCCGGTAAGAGATCTCCTGGGAGCATGTCACGATGGTTATCGTTACAGTGTTGATTCTCCTACAGACAATGTTAAAGAGTAATAGCAAAAGTAACTCGGATATAATTGATATCTAGTACAATACCCTAGCAACTCAACAATAACATCAAGACAGTATTTGGGATGTGCAAGCAAGTCTTATTGTTCAAGAGGACTGGATCTAGTGTTCTCTAGAAAAACTCTTAATGAAGGAAACTTCTCAAAATTAATCTTAATCAAATCAGAAAATTGACATTTATGGGTGTAGCTTGTCATCAACAACATTGATAAATACAACGGGACGACTATACATTATGGGAGAGAATATTTCGAGCTATGCAACAGTTATTGAAATATACCATCGCATTAGGATCTTCAGCTCATCAAGCAAACAAACTCCAGTTCTTCAATTCGCCGCATTACTGTTTAGCTAGTTTCTGTTGTTGTTGTGTATCTCACTTGTTTGTTTCTCTCTTGCAGG